AAGCGAACTTTTCAATAACTGCAAAGTCCTTAAATATTCATTGATAACCGCAAGCTCAAATAAAAATAAATTGAGAATGGGAAGTGAGAAGTGAGAAGACTACAAAATTTGATTAAAACTTTTTTATCATTTAAACGGAATCTTTTAACGAATATTTGCTATGCTTATGATTACTGTTTTATGCCCTTGTGTAGAAAGAGCTTTTCCCTTTTCGGTTTTTAGCTAATTCTCATAAAGTTGCCTTTCAACCAAACTAAACCTCAAGCTCTTTGAGCGGGCAATCCCCGCAATCCTTTGCGAGGACCTTTGACCGTCTTTTGCTATTTTTTAAGTCGCTTTAATTGTTAATTTGACAAAAGTAGCATATGAGAGAAAGTAAATGGAAATGAACAGATTTCATTTGTAACTCGCATGCTTGCGGGTGTAAGTGTGTGTGTGTGTGTGTGTGTGTGTGTGTGTGTGTGTGTGTGTGTGTGTGTGTGTGTGTGTGTGTTTGTTTAGCTCAGATGAACTCAGCTGTTAAATTCACTTTATGTCTCTTTCTCTCTATCGCCCTCTTGTCATATTTGCTGTCCTTTTGTGTGTCGCTCAGGTGGCTGTATGGCACTGCCATTTTGTGCCAACCAAGAATACACACATACATATACACGACACACACACACACACACACACACATACACACACTCACCTTGTTGGTTCTATTCTTTGTGCTTTTCTCACTTTTCTGCGCAGTTTTTCATACGAGGCTTGCTTTGTTTTTGGATTGTTTTATTTTCTGCACACAAACAAATAGACTTTTAAATATTTTTCACTAAATTTATTTGACGGTTTGCGGCGTTAACACATTCGCATGGCCAGAGAGATAAGATTTATGACAAAGCACCTGCGTTGCGAGTGGATGGTGGCCGGAGGGAGTGAGGAGGGAGGCGAGGACTAACTGGCATTGCACACATAGATTGTGTCTATGGAGTGCACATATTTCCATATGTACATATTTATTTTGTGACATATTACTCAACCCGGCTGCGGTTCATATCAAGTTTTAGACAAACTTTAACATATGCTACGATTTTATTTGAAAAGTGTAAATGATTGATGGCTTTGCCAAACTTTCGACAAATCATATTTTAATCGTTTTACGCCTGGATAAATACTGCATTTATTTATTTAATAGTTAACTAATATTTTATACTTTAGAATATTGTATCTGACTTCTTAATCTTAAAATAAAACAAAATATTTAATTTAATTAAATTTAAGCTCTTTTTTATTGTTGTATATTGCTAAGCATTGTTTAATGTTTTTTGTGCGGCCTGTTGCAAGTCGCAGTCGTATATCTGAATTACTTGATGTACTTAGCACACAAGTGGTATCCATTTATCACATTTCACTTTGGTTGCATTTGCAATTGCTTTCCGTTGTTAGATTGCAATTTAGAGAGCTGCAAAAGTGGTCGAAAAGAACGCAGCTAGAAAATATACAATCACAATGACAATATACACTGTACAACTACAATACGACAACACTACTTATATGAAAATTTATTTGCATTGCGATTTGCAAATTTATGCAACTTTTGCACATATTTCACAACAATAAACTTGTGCAATTTTAACTTTTTTGGCAGTATTTTCCATTGCCTTGCTTTTTGCAATGCTCTTCCATTTTCTTTTGCTGTGCTGAATTTATCACAGAAACTTTCACATTTTGCAAATCATTTTTAACACCTGCGGCAGGTTAAAGTTCGGCCAGCAAAAAACTTTGCGAATTAGAAAAGCCAAGGCAACATTTTCATATTTATATCTCGCTCAGCGAACGCTTCCATTCAAAATGAGTTAAGCCGTTAATGCCAAAATAATAGCGTTAGCTGGAAAAAAGCAAGCGTTGAGCCTGTGACGTCAGGCAGAGATACAAATATACAACAAATGCGGTCATGAAAACATAATGCGAGTCCACACACCCGATTACAGAGAGCAACACATGTTTCAGTTGGCCCAGATGTAGGCCAAGATGCCCAAGATGCTGCTGACCACAAGCAAATGACAAGATTTATAGCCAAGTAATCGACATTGCCAGGCCATAAATCTAAACATAGGCTCAAATGTCAAAAGGCCTGTGCCCAGGAGGTAAAACTAAAAGTCAAGGAGTAGAAATAGGAAATTCCAAATTAAAGCCATATTTAAATTACCTATGCCATAAGTGTTATATTACTAAGTAAATTTCATCGGAAAGATGACCCCCTTGAATGCGGTTACATAGATTAGAGGAGTACGGATAGATTGCTTTGAATATCTGCAAGAATATTCATTATTAAAATTTGGCTACAATTAATTGAATTTATAAAATAATAATGAATAAGACAAATACGAATGCGATATAGCTGTTGCTTCATCAAATTAATATGATGAAGAAATGGGTTTAACATTTTCTAATTTTGAGACATTTATGTTTGCGTATCCCGATCACCATCTGCTTCGAAAATTTGTATGCTCTTTTTGTAAGTTGCTTTGAGACCAAACTGTTTTGATCGCATCCCTTTCAGTATGCAGCATGAATCAGATATTGCATTTTTATGCAGCTCGAGAGTATGCAATAACTTTTTATTCGATTTATTGCCAAAATAATAATTGATTGAATTGTATCCAATTAGTCAAGTAACTACATGTCACACAATTAATAGATGCACTTTAAGAAATCGACTGTATTAATCCTTCAATTCCACATATGCAGCGTGATTTCAATGAGCATATTGAAAAAGATATCGCCGAAGTTAAAATGTCTATATTGATGAGGAAGGAACCAAAAGAAATTAAATTAAATTATGCTTATGGAGAACTTTTGCAAGCAAGCTGTTGAAATTGAAAACACGGTTTATGCCAAACATTTTGCAACAAGCAAAATACAAATTAAAAAAATGTTTAAAAGTTTCTAAAAATATTACGAAATAAGCTGCGCAAGCTCTGAAAAATCTCAAGCAGATTTGCAAACAATTTACAACAAAAAATTGCACAACGTAACCAAAATGAGATGAAAAGTTGCATCAAACTCATTTGGTCACTTTTTAATGGAATATTCAGTGTGCACTTTTTACGCTTTTTAATTAAATGTGTTAAGAGTAAAGTTTTGCACTTAATTTTCAGTCGAAAAGCTGCCTACAGCAACGACCACTGGAAGAGAAGTGCTTACAAACTACTTCCCAAAGACAATTTTTGACAGTTTTAAAGAGTTTTAACGCCAGCTTTGCATATTTTATAAGCATCAGGAAACCGGAAAGGTTCTTAGGCTTTTCCATGGTCCATCTAATGGGTAGCCCCAATTTATTTAGTGGAGGACACACACAATATGTACATGTGCCAGAAGAGAAATCGTAAAGTGTGACGAGGGGAGATTGGGAGATGGAGGCTGGAAGATGGAGGGTGGAGGGTGGAGGATGTAGAAACCATAACCACATCAGAAGGCGTCTGGCGATGTTTGTTTTCAAATTAATTACAACTTGACTATGGGCACCAGACCCCAAAGTAATTCGTGGACAACATCATCATCATTATCATCATCGACAACTGAAATGGCTCGAAATCCGAGTTGTAATTACCTCTTGACACCCGCAAACATATAATTAACTTAATGATAACGCACAGGGATGGTGGAGGAGGGGTAGTCATTGGGTCGCCTCCCTGCCGTTTGAATTGTGTTAATGGCTTCCGGCATGTGCGAAAGTAACCGATATGGCGTTTCCGTGCTGTCCTTGTTAACGTGTAATTGCCCGAAATAGGCTTGAGCCACTTGTGAAATTTTAAACTTTTCAATTAATTGGCTCGACTACAAGCTCGCTCAACACTTGTCATCATTCGGCCGACAAACTTTCTCTCTCTCTCTCTTTAAGCCGAATACATTCGCATAGCAAATAAAAGTTGACTTTATTTATTGGCCACATGCTCATAAATCTGAGACCAAGTCCATCATTTGCACCTGTGCTGCATCTAAATAACAAAAAAGCAGGCGGGTACAGATTGTAAAAAGAAAAACAAGAACTTTTGCATGATCTTAAGAGCGCTTTAAAAACGTTCACCAAAAACATTTAACTGGCCAAGTTTTGAAGGTTTTTAATTTTTATGGTTTCCTTGGACTTAATTGGAATTGAGGCTGCAAAAATGTGTCACAAACACGAAATGAAATCTCGCTACAAATTAATTGGCCCAACAAACTTGTATTGCGCTCAACGTCGAGTAAATATATGAATTTATGTGTATATATATGTATACATGAGTAGTGGACATTGCACAAACCCCAACAGTCAACCCGCAGAATGTTTGTATGTTTATGTAGGCAATTAACTTAATGATAAGAATGTTGGTGGTGTTGGAGTGAATGAAATAGTGGTGAAAATGACTTGAAGGCAAACTTCCTCGTGTTCGGCATCGTCATTAGCCGCAAAAATATGTCCGACTGCCTAATGATTAATACGACCAATATTTGGCTTCCCAAGAAGTCAGACGCTATATAAACAGACATATATATAAATGTAATTATACATATGTAAGCATGTAAGCATGTATATATATATACACAGATATGTTTCCCTTGACGATGCTGACCAAAAAACACATTTTTCGTCACTCAGTAATTGCATATTTGAGAAGCAGAATAACGATGACGATGATGATGATGATGACGATAATCAGACGGAATATTACAATTACTTGTCTCTCCAGCTGTGCGCCTTTTCATCTTCTATGAAGATCGTCCGAGTCTTAGTGCCTAATTAAATGCATGTCCAGGCCAAACTGAATCGGCGTTAATTTATGCAGAATGCAGACATTTTGGTACAGTTTTATTGTAACCTGGCTTTTGGTCATACATTTTCATCAAGAGCGAGCGAACATTTGTTTTTATATTTTTAAACGACCCAGTAGACAATGCTAGAGAAATCACAGCAATATAACTAAAAAAATACAAATGTAAACTAGCTATTCGAGCATATCCAGCTATTTGTAATTCAAGTTAAAATTCTGGTAAAAAATCGTAGAGCATTGAAAAATGGAAGAAGACTTTCAATTCGAAATCACAAAGGCACCTGGCGGTTATACCGTCGATATGGACAGTGAGCGCTTGGACTGCGAGCATATTGGTGAGTAGAGTACAGAAATTGAGTGTATCTTATAAATATGAACTGCTAAATAGATGAGATAACTGAGCGCTGGATAGATCCAAATAGACCGTCTTTTGTAACAGTGTTGTTACGCTTCTTTGGCAATATATTCGGTAAGTGGGAAATACTTCTTTGTAGTCCCGGAAAAAGATATATTAACTTAGATCCCTGTGTCTGCCTACAGTGGACTGCTTCAGAGCGATATTTGCTTAAATGAAGATATTGATAATTTTGCATGTCTATACATTTCTTGGCAATAAAAATGTGATGTAAAATACTCCTAATGTTAATGGACTTTATTATTTAATAACAATTTCAGCGGTGAATCTATTACAAAAGTGCTGGCATTGTGCAATGGCAATTTGTTAGAGCCGACAATATGTCGATGGCGTCTTTAAGGAAATGTTCAAGTTTTTCCGGAGATCGGAAGATATCTTTCTCAATAGTCAATTTTTTGTCATTCCATATATCCCAACGACGCATGCTGGCAATAACATCGCCACAAAAATCGAGTTTCTTCCTTTCCTTTCGGTGGAGAATCTTATTGATTCGCTTGCGACGCTTGACTAGCAACATAAGGAACAATAAAACAAAAAATAATTACATTTCCTTCGGTCCATACTTAATTTATCAGCTATTTGCACTTACTTTCCTTTGTGCTAAGAGTCTGTTTTGTGTGTGTTTTGCGCTCATCTCGCATGGATTCATCGTAGGCAGCAATGATTTGATACATACGCTTGTCAAGATCCCTTGTCTTATTCATAAATTGCAAGCAATGATCCTTACAGAAAATATCCGGATACGGTACTTTTGTATAATATGCGGCATTCGTGAACTGCTGCCGCTGACTTTTTATTTTATCCTGGTGAAAGAGCATGTTTTTATGAACAACTGCATTGTAGAAGCGATATCTCAAACTGCTCAACAGCTTCTCAACGCGAGACAAGCAGCTGAAAGAAGAGATTAAGATCACATCATCTTAACTACTGTACTGTACTGTAGTGTTCTTACTGTGAGTTGGCCAGCGAGTATACACCTGGAATTGAGTAGGTGCGCAGCATGTGGTGCAATTTGTAGGCCACACAATGCAACAGATCCTCGGCAGCACATTTCTGCAATCGTCGCCGTGCACCCCAATCCTCGATAGTATGACGAACCCACCAGCCCCGGAAGAGCGCTTGGATCTTAGTTGCCGCCTTATTATAATGGGCAAAGATGGCAGTCTGCAATTTCTGCTCCACATACAACATGAAGTTTTTGCGCACCCAGTAACCACGCCACCATCTCTGTATGGTAATGGCTGCCTCCCACCTCTTTTCCATTTGACGACGCTTGCGCCAAATGAGAAAGCTTCTTTGTATAAGCCGTGCGGCCTTGAATAGCTTATAGTCCTGTATGAGCAATGAAATGCTAGAAGTCGATTTTATTATTGAGAGATAATCGGATCAGTTATAGAGCGATTAAGCCCGTCTATAAAAATTGTTTATTTTGTTTTGGTTTATTTTTGTTTAGCATTAAAACTGCACTCACCGAGTCAGAGATGCATCTATACTCTGATCTGATAAATCGGAGCTTTGCGAATAAGTGCTGTCCTCAGTATCACTGAATGAATATGAATATGTATATATATGAATAAATGATGAGTCGATTCAGTGTTTAACTGAATACTTACATAAACAAGGTAAAATCGATACCGGTGATTCGGCGGCTAGAAAGCATTCCCAAATTCTTATCTCGGAATGTCATCGCTGTGTTTAGTTTTTTCCTATATCGTATGTCTATGTAGTTGTGTGTATGTGTATGTCTGGTGTATATATATATATTTGTTTAAAAATCTCGTGTACAACTGTTGTTTGTTTTATGTTTAATGTGTTTGTGATATTTTGTTCACCATTGCTTTGTTGAATGTTTTCGAACAGTTTGCTCGATAATTATATATTATGCGCTTTTCCGATTGTATCCTGCTTTATGCACATTAGATATGCATAAATCTTTTCAAATGAACACCATGTCCTGGCCATATATAAATATTGTCTCGTATTTTATTTAGCTGCTCCTCGCAGCTAAACATCTTTCGTGCTTATCGCATCAGCTACAGAATTTACGACCGAATCTATATATCACTAAAATACGCTTCGCATGCGGGTTTCTGCCATAGAACAACAAATACACTTTCCTTGCCATTCCTTACTAACCAGCTCTCAGAGCTGCATTTAATTGAATTGTATTCATGCTGCTGGTTCCAATCCAAAATGCACTCATCCATAACTGTAGAGAACTTGCTCCACACAAATCGATCACATATCTTGACTTTAGTTTCACGGTTTTCTCTGAGTGCAGTAGGCCCAGCTGAGATATCGCTTTTATGATGCCCTTGACACAATTGTGGCCCAACTGTAATTACTGCTAATGCTGACAAATGGCACCTGGGCTACCAACTGGCTAACGACTACACAAAGGTCAAGTTGTGCATTCCAGTTGCAGTTGGCAAATGGGCATGGACCATAAATTGTGCTATATTTTGTCCGGGCAAAGTTGCCGCTTTAAATGAAAATCAATATGTGTATGTATAACCTACATTGTCAGGCCGATCCAGGGACTTTTTTTTTTTCATTATTATTATTTGTGTGGATCCTTCCTGTGCAGCTGGGCAACTCTCTCCCGCAGCGCCGTCACCGTCCTCCTCCTTCTCCTGCAATGCTCATTATGCGCCACAAATGAACCACACACAAACAACGGAAATGAGTCGGAAATTCTCATTTATGGCGCCCTTGACGCCATTCGCTATTTCCACTATCCTATCTATTTCCAGCCTGTCCCCCTGCCTCTCCCTCTCTCTTTCTCTACAGGCAGCTAGCTAGCTGACAAGTTGGCTCTGGTTTCTGTTACAGATTCTGGTTCCTGATTCCGCTTCTGATTGCTGCGGCCATGAGATTTATGTGCTCTCATGATATTGACGATGATGATGCGGCTATGGCTACGGCTGCTGATGCTGATGCTGATTTTGATGCTGATGCTTCTTCGCCATCTTCTCCTCCTGTTGATTTTTGCGGTCGCTGGCCAATCACATTGTTAGCATTGTGACCCAGTAACTGAATTGGCGAATTTGGCCAAGAGTTGCACTTGCCTAAATACAAATAGTCAACAAGGTGAGTTCTGTTTCAAATGCTTTAAGCTATTTCAAATTAAAGTGTTTTAACAACGGAATAAATTTAAATATTTATAACTGAATTTTGGTACACAACAAAAGCGTTATTGAACACTTAGGCTAACATGTTTATATATGATTAATTTATACATAGATTTAAAATGATTAGCCAAATACAAAAGAATTATTGAACAAAAATGTTAACATTTTCAAATATGAGTACTCTGCATTTACATATATTTCAAATTAATCGCTAGTCTAGTTTTTTTTTTCGTTCTATGTTATAAAAATAAACGTAGTTAAAATTTGTATTTTGACCAAACTCTACAGCTGCCTGCTTAGAGTAGTATTTTTACATACTCACAGGCGTATAAATATATATATATATGTACATATATAGTTTGTATATGGATATAATTCAAGGCATCTCATGTTTGTCCTGTGCTCCTTCGATTTCCCATTTCAAGCCTTTCGAGCGCGACGTGGGCACAAATTTAGACACAGGCAAAGGACACAAAGCAGACGAAGAATATGCAGAGGGAGAGATGGATGAAGAATTTAAAGGATATTCACCCACTCATCCAGCAGAAGGAAAAACTTTTTTGGGCCATACATCTGCATTTATGGCCACGTACAAAATTGGTAGCTGGATTCCTGTTTTTGGTCCCAATGTGTTTTGTGGTCCTTTGGCATGCATAGTTAAACGTGCCCATTGTGGACCCACATGGAATTGCTGTAAATTAGTTTTTACACCTGACTGAATGCTATTTATGCTTATTTTACGATATTTATCCTGGCTATTGCTGTCGGGTGCTGTTTTTAAACTTGAGACACATGCTGTTTGATCCCTTGACGCGTGAACTTTATTTAATTGGTTGATATTTGTTTCAATTAAATTACCATTGCAATTCAATCAGATTGTTGTTCTGCGTCTGGTCTAGACTGGCTATCATTTCGATTACATACTGTCACTTATGTATGTATGTGTATTGTATGTGTTACTTACAATGTTGTTTTGGCCTTAGATTGTGTTGTGTAAATATTGAAAATGCTTTTAGGGTTCGCCTTTCACATTTTATGGCAGGTGGAATCGGGGTAAATTTTGAACATTTTGAAAACGGGGCAGCGACCGTTCCTAAATCTAATTTGAAAAGTACTAACCCGTAACGTAGCAATGGCCATATATCAAAAGCAAATTACATACACACCCACCCCACACACACACCACACACACACACACACACACACACACTCACATACACAAACGTGTGGAGATTTCTACGAATTTACGAGCGCGTCCAAGCAGACTACCCAAAAAATGTTTGGTTATAAAATTTGTGTGGGTCAGGTGGAGGGTCAAATGGGTGGCCATATTGCGGATAGCAGAAAGCTGCATCTGAGCAATCCAGGTATGCTCGTATTCTCTTGTTGTGCCGTGCCCATAAAATAGGAGGGCGCTGAGACAACTTGAAACGACAGCCACTTGAAACACCTGTCTCCAGAATTTGTCATCAGCTGCGCTTTTTTTGATTAATGCACTCGACGCTTTCTAAGCAGTTGAGACAGTTGAGATACCACTCCCAAATCTGGCTAAGACAAACAATTGAAATTCCAATATAAAAATGAATTATTATGATTTCTTCGCTACTTGAAACAATAATATTTTCTTGAGCTTAGGTTTATTTTTGTTAGCTCAGCTTTATATATTAACATATTTTCCTTACACAGCAAAACTGCAATTTGATAAGGCGTAGCGAGTGAAAATTGTATGCAATTATTTTTGCAAGTTCTTTTCTAGTTATAGCTTTTCACATTGCAGCGCTCAAGTTTCACTTCAAATCACCTAGGTGAAATAAAAAACTTTTGTGCCCTTTATATTGGCCATTCTGGAAAAGTATGCAACTCGACGCGGTGTTTTCTTTCTTCTTTTGTCCCTTTTTGCTTTCGCGCACACGGATACAAATTTATGAGCGACCAAAGTGTAATCAAGACTCGAGAACAAAGGCGAAAAGAAAATGTGAAGTGGGTGAATTTGTTAACTTGGTTAACTGGTGCAATTCGCAGCATCATGTGTCGAAAAACTTTCGATTGCCATAAAACTAAAGGATGCTTAACGAAAAATTAAATACTTAACTCAACGGTTAACTGAATCCTAAAGATGATTTTCAAAACATATAATACAATAGTCCCTTGTGTCCCATAAACAAAACTTTACTTTTCGATTGGACTACCGAAATAAAAAAAATTCAAGTAATAAGGATTTCAATTGAAAAGATTTTTCGCCAGATTATCGAATGTGATTCTACGAGAACTTCCAAGGCAGACAAACGTCTTCATCCGTAGCCCCATTAGATGTAGACTCCATTCTAAAGGTGGACCTGCGGAGCAGCAGTAAGGATTGCCAAATATTTTCAAAGAGCTGCTGATAAAGTGAGTTGAGTCGACGATTTGAGCTTTTGTGTGCCCGTGTTGGTCCAGTTTAGTGATCCTGTCATCACAATGCCCCTTCGCTGCCACAGGCGACTGTGTACGCGTTTTTCCTCATCGTCCAGTTGCAGGATGCGCTCCTAACCTGCAAACAATGCTATAAAGCATCAGGCTTAATGTTATTTTCGATGCATGTGCCAGCTGGCGCTTCCTGAGGCTTAGGAAATTGCTCAAGAAAAAATACGGCTGAAGTGAAAGCCCATCAAAACAGGAATAAATGTGAGTCAACATTCCTGAATGAACTCACATGGCGTGCAGCAAACACATATTGTTTGCACAAGGCTAGGTCAACCAGGCACGACTTAAAGTATCGATAAGTCAAATTTATCGATGCTGTAGAAACAATACTTGCAAGTTATCAAATTCCTTAAGGAAACACAAGAAAGGTAGAAATTAGAAATATATTAATGGAATTGACTCTATTTCAAGAATATTAATGCACCGTTTCCCTTAACTACTTTTTGTTGCTATATACATGTATTCTAGAAGAAACGAAATACTCTGTGCCAATTTCTATAGCTACAGTTTCTTGATCTGACTGTAAGCAAAAATTGATCGATACTTCTGGCTTAGCCAGCAAAATAATCGATTCGCTCAGCAAAATATATGCAAGGCTATTTATGTTAATAGTTTCATGACATTTTTTATTATTTAAAAACTGATTTCAGCTATTTTTAATGTGGTAAATAATATTAAAAACATTATTAGCAGCTCCACAAGTAGAACATGAAATTGAGTGTGCTTCGCATTTTCGTCCTCAGCCTCGCCGCCCACATAAATACAGACATCGCTGCCATTTAAGACGATATGTCCAGAATTGTGTTGTAGTTTGATATTATTTGAGTTGCCATTGATTTCTATAATTCCCGTCTGTTTGGATGATTTTCCTTCCACATCTTTAATGGCAATTGTATCCATTTTGGTAATAGCGCTCTCCATTTGCCTTCCCTTTTGCAACAAGCACTTGGAATGTCTGCCGATAACAATAATCGAACTAATTATCGACCTATATATATGTATATATGAATAGTTCTGAGTCGACTACAGGGTTGCATTTGTTCGAGACTAACGAAAATATTGAAACAATGCAATGAAACAAAAAACAGAAGTGTAATTGATTTTGCAAACTTGCAAATGCAAATGCATTAGCTTTGAAATACGAATTAGCTGAAGTGCTTACAAAATACTTGACAAGCAGTGCAAAATCCACTTCCCAACTTCATCCAAGTGT